TTATAGTATGTGATCTACATTAATTTTATATAGTAGGCCTATATAATTGGAATGATGAAATATTACATCATGGCGCCATCTACACGGAGGAATAGTAGATACGCGTGTCACTGAATGGAGTTCGCGTGGGCGCGTGCATGACTGTGTGCTACATTATGCAACATTATTGCAGAATAAAACATGCTAACATAAAATCTCGATAGAACATAACATTAATTACATCATAGCACCTAACTCGCGTCAAGAGAATTTAAACTGCTTTGGTGTGAAGGCTGCAGCGTTGGCAAATACTAGAAGAGAAAAATGTATGCCTTTAGATAAATATTCTGTAACACACTCCCGGGGGGAATTTAGTCAGACTATGAGGTATATATAGACACATATTTCAACCAATTGGAGTCTTTATTGCCATTCACGCCTCTGATTTTTCCGTGATGATTAACCTCGCACACGCGGGCGCACGCACGCGCGCACGCACGCACGAATGAACGAACGCACGCACGAACTGGAAACAGGAATTGGGAAATGCGTTAATTCGTCCAGAATACCTCGTAGTTTAAAAATGTCTGTGGACGAAAAGCAGCAACAGCGTTAATTAACCGATCCTCCCCATTGGGCTACGACACTCACTTTTAATACGTCGTAGGTAATGCGCTCTACAGTCGGGCTGGTGACTGGAGCAATTTCTAATGCGTGCAGAACTCAATGGATGTTAAGAAATGCACACGATTTTGACGATTACAACATGTCCACCAGCGTCTTATTATATATTTTTATTTTTAGATTCATTCAATCTAAACCCATACCTAATTATACACATCATGTCTACCAAAAATCGTCGGTGTGGGCAGTAGAGCTGCGATTATTGAACATACATATAGGCGTATGATAAATTCATGAACAAAAAGTCACGGGTTGATTTTAAATATTGAGCTGGCGGACTTATAGCCTGCATGAAACTCAACGGGTAGATAATTTTCTCACTATATGATTTATATATTATTTAGGTTTCTTCGTTTTTTACGTTGAAACATATACAATATATATTATAGTATATATATATATATATATATATATATATATTAATATATATATATATCAGTCTCTCTCGCTTTCTCGCTCTCGCTCTCTCTCTCTCTCTCTCCTCTTTCTCTCTCTCTCTCTCTCTCTCTCTCTCTCACTCTCTCACTCTCTCTCTCTCTCTCTCTCTCTCTCTCTTCTCTCTCTCTCTCTCCTCTCTCTCTCTCTTCTCCTCTCTCTCTTCTCTCTCTCTCTCTCCTCTCTCTCTCTCTCTTTCTCTCTCTCTCTCTCTCCTCTCTTCCTCTCTCTCTCTCTCTCTCTCTCTCTCTCGCTGTCAGACTGTCTGTCTGCCTTTTTTTGTTTAATGGGGGTACGGAGCCGGTAGGGTCCCTATATACAGATCTGTATATAGGGACCCTAGGATATTGTATCTGGTATATATAGGGACGCCTTTAATCCAACCGCATAATCATATTATATATTG